TGTTGTTGTTGCTGTTGTTGTTTTTGTTTTTGTTGTTGTTGTTGTTGCTGTTGCTGCCATCATCGAAAAATCTTTCATAAATTCAAATGAATGAAACTTCTAAGGTGATAAGGTGACGAGCGTGTCTGCTTAAGGTAGCAAAGAATACTTTAAGTGAATATGATTGTATGGATGCGGATGCGGATACAGATAGAAATTGTGGAAAATGCTGGTACTCGTACTCTCGTACACTTACACCGTCATTTTTATGTGTAGCTAAGTGAGTAAACATACATACGTGCTTGCTTGCGTACTAATTTACATATTTTTTGTACCAGAAACAAGCGCGTTCAAATTAAATTAAAGTCTGCTTATATTTATGTTAAATATTTTCTTTTGCCTTCGTTAAAGCTAACGCTACTATACACCTATGACTTCTCACGCAAATATAATTTCAGCATGTAACTGATATTTACACTCCCATACCTTTATGACTTTTCCTGTTATTAAATTTGTTTTTATTGCCTCCTTGGTATTAAAATTTTGCACATAAAGAAAGTTTGATAATTTTATTTCATTTCATATTTCATAGAGTAATTTTTTCCAACTTTAATAAAAACTTTACGAACAAAATATTTAATATACAATAATTTTCTATTTTCCTATTTTCCGTGTTGTACGAGTATCTTTACTTTTACAGAATATTTGCAGTCAGAGCAGTAAAATATACAAATGAACAGCCAAATACAGTGTAATTCCGTACAGAAGTTCTGCAATTCCTTCGATTCCTTTGAAAAGTGTCAATACCAGTGCTCCTCTTAACTTTGGAATTTTTCATTTGCATTCACTGACATTTGATTTTCGCGTTGTTTGTTTGCTTTACTATTGCATTTTGTCAGAAAAATAATCAATTTAAGTCAAAAGTGCACAAGGAGCATGTCTAACATATCCTAGATTGGTTGCATATTTTGAATGTTTCAAACTCAAATGTTTTTCTATCGTTTAGAAAAGTTGATTTGTTTCTTTTTGAGATAAAAAATTGTTTATTTATTATTTGAAGTTTGAAAAAAAACTATATTTGTTTTTAAAGCTTAGAGAAATTTCATAGAAAGGTTTCGAACAGTAGTGAACTACAACAACAACAATTTTTATTCTTTCAATTAATTGAACTATTGGCATACAGCTGTTTCAAGTATTGCTAAAATATCCATCATCAGTGGTCTTGGAAATATTTCTAACTTTTAATTATTTATTCGAAATACTTTTTTTGGGACTGCAAGTACCGCTGGTTGAACTCGTGCCCTGCCAAATTTGAAGCTTAGAATCACAATTCATTAGCTAACTGACGAAACACCATACTTGACTTGAATGTTCAGATATTGAGTTTTGTTAATTTTTAAAGATTAATTCATAAACAAGTTCACTTGCTGTGTTACATTAGAAAGAAATCATAATCCAGCTTAAGATTAATTGTATTAAATAATAATAGTTACTTTTTAATTATTAAATTTTAATACTATTATATATTTTAATATGAATTCAAATTTTTAAATTCTGAAATATTAAATTTTTAATATATGAAATTTTATATTAAATATTATTTTTTATAGAAAGGTTTGTAGGTTCCATAGTAAAATTTATAGACACAGTTGGACTTGATCAAATTCTGTAAGTCCATGAATGGGGGCAAAATATTTTCCCAGGTAGCGGTGCAACTCTCTTAATATAATAACAATAATAATAGATAGGTGTCAACAGTAGCAAAATGCAACATAATTGCACTTTTTAATTAATTGAAAATTATATTACAACTATTTAGAATTAACTTTCATATGGTATTTTGGAAACCGAAACTCATAGTGGAAAATATCTAATTCAACACGATGAAACAAAAGCTTTTCATTTTGCAAACTTGACAATAGATAATGCACATCGAATTCATACTACCCTTCGAATCGGTCATACTCTTCACAGACATCCTGAAAATATTATTTGTCAATTACAGAAATGGAACCCATAGGGAAGTAGCCATCATATTAGGGCGCCTGTTAGAATATGGTAAAGGACTGTTCTTGTAGAATTGTATTGACATTAGCCGAGAAGCAAATGCTACACTAGAAGAAGAGGATAATAGAAGAAGAAGGCTAGCAAACATTGTAACAATATTTTAACAATAGATTAGGTTAATACAGATTTGTTTTCATATTGACAGAAGAATATGAAATGATATTTATATCATCAGATCAGGGATCAGAAACTCATTTGAAAACTAAAGTTCTTTCAGTGTTCTGAACATCGACATATATTACATTATAATTTCGAGTGAAAACCACGCCATTTTGCTAGAATAAGCCATTACTTATTTTATAATAAAATTACTGCATATTTTTTATATTTTCTCAGATTCGAGAAAAAGATTATAGGAACTAAAAAAAGTGATTTCATATTATAGTTTCCATATAGTCCATATTGCTATAATATTTCGAGGAGATTGAGTATTTCATTTTTACTACGTTTTTTACTTCCTTCTTTTCCCACCGCCTTATTGTGTTATATAAAACTTTAAAAGTCAAATCTAAATTGTATATTTCAATGAAAAAGATACAATCTTAAATACATAAAAAAAAATATTTTTTCTTGAGTCGTTTAGAACAGGATTTTATATAACTGCCAAACAATTGATTTGGAGTTCCCATCTTATATCTCATCTAATACCGTCTAATATTCAAAATAACACAATCTCATGGAAACAATATGATCGCTTAAACTATATTCTATCTCAACTGGGAAACTTACAGACTTGCCATTGTATAGACAAAAAGTTACTGACTTGATAAATTGTGCAGTCTCGAGAGGAGTATGCTAAAAGTAAACAATCTGCATATTCAATCTTGACTCATCGTCTGATTACCTGCATAATTAATTATTAATAGTCATTAAGAAGATTGTAATCCATTGAAAATTCAATTTCTCAGTATGAACGCTGACTGCAATAATTTCTTTAAGTTAGTAACAATCGATTTGAAATTAATACTGAAATTGATTTAAAATCAGATACTGATATAGTAGAAGCTGTTTAATACCTACATTTAAAATTAAAAAGCGGATGATAAAATAACACTGACAAAAAATAAGATGTCCGGTTGAAAGTTCTTGACTTTCGTAAAAACGTAAAATTTATTCAACCAAAGTATCATAATAAATGCAGGATATTATATTTATAAAACTCACTCTAAACTTCTCTCTCTGGACTGTCATCAGAGAAGTATATAAGCCAATTGTTGATTACCCACCTACACATAAAGTTAACAAAATATGGCCAAAGAATAATATTGAAAAAGAAAAACTATTTATTCTATATGTGCAATCTATTAAAAATTATGATATGCCCGCATAATGCGAGAGAGGGGTTACATTTTCTAAATGAACCATATGACTTCCAGTAAACAATTATTATTATTATTAAATTAAAAAAAATTCCAACATGTGACTATGGTATTACAACAGATACTTTCATCAGTACTGCTGCTGATGTTATCATTGACGTTGTTATTATTCTTCCCAAAAATTGCTTTTAGTACTCTAAGCTGTTTATTGCGCTGATTTTATCTCTCTTTATTTTAATAACAATAAAATGTAATAATGCAAATGCAAAAATTATATTGAGTTAAAACAAAAATAAATTTGCAACAACAACGATGTTATCATGTGTACCATATAAGTATGAGTTTGTAGTAATGCAAATGCAAAAACTATATATAATAAAAACGATAACAAATTTGCAACAACAACGATGTTATCACGTGTACCATATAAGTATGTGTTTGTAAGCATAAAAAAAATTTATTTTAGTGACTCGCATTGACAACATTATTTCAAACACTGACTTCATGTCTTTTTTTGTAAAAAGTGTTTTGAGGCCTAAGTACCCTATTTATTTAGTCCTCTGCAATTAAGTGTGTTAATGTGAAATATGTAATTAGATCCGAAAGTATATAATTTAACAATGTGTCTGTGTGTTGGTACAATAATTTAAGATACAAATATTGAAAAAACGAAATATAAAATGAAAATAAAATACATACATACATACATACATACATTAAGAAGTGACAACTTCTATAGCGGATCAAAACAATTATGTAGAGCATAGCGTTAAGAAAGTATACTGAATTAATTTCTTAATGCCTTAAAATGTTTTAATATTCACATCTTTAAATTAAAAGTCCTGAGCAGCTTTTTTGCCCTCAACATTTGTATTGCTTGCATTAAGGACACATTAAACTAAAGTTTTTAATATACCATATGTGATGTTTTTCCACTTTACTTAACATATAGTATATAAACATATGTACATTTTATATCGTATTTTATATTAAAAAATAAAAATTTAAAATGATTGCCATTAAAATGACTAAATTCGAGTGTAGCTGAAAGCACTTGAGATACTCCAGGGTGCCAAAGGACGTGTGTAAAGCAGGCAACAGTTTTTGATTGATGAATACAGACAATGTAATTTACACGTCAATACATCCAAAACACTTGAAATTTAGTACACAGATACTAAACATATCTGTAGAGTAGTATATTTTACACTAAAATACGTCAATAAAAAACATCAATAAAAAATTAAATGTTTCTGAACATGAAACACTTACGTGCCTTGCCCGTGCCGAGCCGTTGGTGAGATCGAGTACATTGCATACACCTAAGCCAAATGAAAAATGAAAAAATTCTGCAAATTGAAATTTTTAATTTAAAAAATAAATAAAATATTTTAATTAAAACGTTAAACTGAAATATGTCAATTTTCAGAAAGCAAATTAAATTTTTCATGAAAATATTTCATGATATATTTTCCTTAAATGACATGTGACACGCCCTAACCTTTCTTGTTTTTAAATTATATAGAATTGCATTTTATAATGCAATTTAATTATTATTATTCAACAATTATTTTTAATTTTCTAATTTTTTACTAACTTCACACAATAAAATCTCGCTTTTTTTTTGCTTTGCAGTTGGTATACACACAATGGTCCTGGCCCACTGCCCGTTTTGAGCGGACCACGAATACGTTTATTAGGTCCTATACTCGCAATTGAGGCGGTAACTGGCGAAGACTCAGGTGTTTATAAATGTACTGCCAGTAATGTAGGTGGCGAAGCTAGTGCAGAACTACGACTTACTGTTGCCACGCCAATACAAGTTGAAATATCACCGAATGTGCTTAGTGTGCATATGGGTGGAACTGCTGAATTTCGTTGTCTTGTAACTAGTAACAGTAGTCCTGTGGGTATGCAAAATATTTTATGGTACAAGGATGGCAGACAATTGCCATCATCTGGTCGTATAGAAGATACCCTAGTTGTGCCACGTGTGAGTCGCGAAAATCGTGGTATGTATCAATGCGTTGTGAGGCGACCTGAAGGCGATACATTTCAGGCAACTGCGGAATTGCAATTGGGTGGTAAGTAGTTCTTATATTTTTAATTTATTTCGACCGTTAAATTAATATTACTAATTGGTTTATACTTAAATATTTGAATTAATGATATAAATTATATTAAGTCAATTTAACAATATTAATCAAATATTGTATTTTAAAATAATATATTGAAATTGGGCCAGTTGGGGAGTTTAAAGCAGTGGTTTCAACCGGTGAACTACAGGTGGTCCGCGAGACAGTTAAAAATGTTTCGTGAATACCTTGTTTATAGCCTATATAATGTATCGATGCACTTATACAATTCATTATACACTATAAATCATACAGTGATCCCTACTAACATGGTATATTAAACTGATAAATATGTAATAACCAAATTTTTTTTTGTAAGTAATCGGAATTAGGTTTATAAAAATATAACAAATATATCACATGTTAGTATCGCATATTGTTAAAAACTTTGTTTATATTTCGTTGAATATAATGAATTTTATGCCGGAAAATATTATATAAACAAAGCTATATTAATAACCAACAATATTATTAGACCACATATTAGTAATAAATAATATTTTGTTACACATTCCGTAAAACAGCTGAATGTGAATTTAAATTTACGAAAGAAAGAAGAAAGGACTCTAGAACACCTGATGTGTCTATGTCCAAGTTTGGCCAGAACTAGGCTTAAGTTTCTGAGGGCCCCTTCTTCAACACACTCGTTGATATCTCTAGGATTTGCATTGGCTTTATAAATGCCTCTGGCTGGTTCTAGTTTGACCTTCTCTCCATTACCCATTATTACGAGAATTTGGGGATTCAAAAGAACTTTCTTAGCTAATAGTTCCTCCCTCCATCACAACTAACTAACTAACTACAACAGACCATCACAAAAAGCTGTCATTTTATATAAACGTACAAGCACGGTGTTAATCAGATTTAGACCTTATCCACAAGGTATGGTTTCCTGCGACTTTTTCGGGTTTATTGAACTGATATTATTAATATGTGAAATACGTCTTGATTCCGCTCAAGTCATAACAAACTATAAAATTGCAGAAGCAACTCAAGTGCTGTTCAAAATCTGTTTATAAAATGTACATATATGGATAACTGGGTTAATCTATAGCGCTTGCGTTTTACTTCAGATGGGTATTACCTTAAGGGCGTTGAGAACAATTTTGTTGTGTAAGTAAATATTTCACATTTTATTAATAAATTCCGGGTAAACATTTTACGGAATGTATATAATTTAATGTGTTTATTTTATTTATTTTTCATAGCTTAAATAAATAAAAACATTAATTTCTCGATTTACATTACAAACTCACTAATTACGAATATTTTCCAATTAAATTCTTTCATTATTAGTATTGCAATAATGCGCTGCTATTAAAAATGTAATAGGACTCATTCATAGTCAACAGTTCTCAACGGTCAATGTCCTGTCACCTTAGAGGGGATATGTAGGCAGTTGTCAGTCAATATTAAGCCAAATAATTTGTAGGATGTCGTATTGTGATATATGTTTACGGAAACATATAAGTACATATTTACTTTGTGAATATTTGTGTATATTTGTTGTTGTTTTTAGGATTGTCCAATGATTCCAACTATCCAATGATTGCAACTATCCAATGCTTAATTAAATATTCGAATTGGTTTATCGACAAAATTGAATATTTATAAAAGCTCTTATGACTTTCAATCGAAGTCTATTTGCGATGCACTGTAATTTATTAAATTTTAACGCCTACATTTTGAGATCCGAGGGAGCTTAATTAAATAACATTTATTGAATAAAAATTTTAATTTTATTTCCAATTAATGAGTGGTTAAGGCTAATAAATGTATAAAATATAAAATATTTTGCAATTTGCTGACACAGTCCATTCGTTGCTATATGAGTTTTAATTAAAAATGTTTGAAAAATTTTTAATATCCTTCAGTGTTTGATGCATATGTTAAAAGGATGCATCATATGTATTTAAGGTGACTACTTGAAAATATATTCTAGTTGACATATTATGTATAAATTATAAGTACATTTATTTTTCAGCTTATTCAATAATTTTCAAAAGAGCTCCCTCAGTGGTTTTCCCATAGCAAATAATTAAATAATACTTGTGCATTTATAGATATTCGGATTCTTTTTGAAATTTATTTCAAAAAGAATATATATGCAACAAAAAGAATATTGTTAATATTTTTTTTTACTTAAAAGTATTTCATTTGTAGTAAAAATTTTTTATAAAAACTTTAATTTCGAAACCTTTTTTCTCTATTCTTTTACTAGGGCTATATTTTCTCTGTAATAAGATATAACATATTTATACAGAAATGAGGTTGGCGAATAAATTTAATAAAATATAGAGTTTAGAATAAATAAAACACAAATATTTTGCGGAAGAGCGAATAATATATATCACTACATCTACAAAATATTATTTCTGTTATTACTTCTTATATAGAAGTATCTTTCTAAGCATATTAGTTCAGAAAGCCAAATTTTTTGTTTGGTGATTTATATCGAATTGTACAATACCTACATAACGTGGGTTCAAAGGTGGGCAATATAAGAGAAGCGACAGAGGTACAATTGCGCTTGTATATATACAGTATGAGAAATCTTCACCTATCAAACTTTTGCTGATGCGCTGCCTCTCATACGAATACCAGTATCTAACGACCGCTTCAAAATGATGCTAAGGTTTATTTAATTTGATAATAAAAATAAACGGGCGTCTGAACAATGCTAATTCGGGACGTCTGAACAATGTTGAACAAAAATTTGGAAAAGCCTACAAGTCATCACCACTGAAGCCGTACTAATTTACCGACATGGGTTTGTGATGCATCCAACATCTACCGTTTACAAAGTCATATTTATACTGGAGGATCAACAGATGAGTCTCAATAAGTAAACATTGGTGAACAAATTGTCTAGACTTAGCTGTCAAAAGAAAGGGCTGTGAATTTAATAAATTTTGCGTATAATCATGATGCAACAATCTATTCCAATGTGTCAAAAAAAAAACAAATCAACCATGCCTATAACAGGAGAAATTGAAAATTTGCAGAGTGCCAAAGCCAGAGATAATCAAATTTTATAATAAAACCAAAGACGGTTTTGACGTATTGTTGAGTGAATACATAGTAAACCGATGAATGTTGGGTTGGGTTCTGGTAATCTTCTACAACATGATTGCCATCACTAGATTAGCATCTAATGTTACCTACATAGAGTATCAATCGAGGTTCAAAACAAAGAATCAATGAAGAAGATCTACAAAGATCTCGTCAAATAGTTATTCATGCCTTCAATTGAAAACGGTAATATAAACAAAAATGATGTGTAAGCACTTTCTTCGAAGCGCAGTAGAAATGGTGCTTGTACGATGTATTTTAATGAGACCAGAAAAAAGTGCTTCTAGCGGTAGTAGTTATATTTGTCGACATCTTAATTGAAACCAACAAAAGACAACACAGTCGTGTGCAGTTTGCGTGAAATCTATTGCCGATGAACACTTTATTTCCAATACAGTATGTGTTTCATGCGAAGAAAGTCGAAAATTTACATTGTATCAGCCTTTAATTTTTTCTAATAATAACTTATATAGAAAATGGTTTCTTTTTCATTATTATGTTATGAAATAACCGTTGCCCGGCCGTTGCAACGGTAATAAGCAAAAAAATTTATTGCAATTGGAAAGAGTAAAAATTGCAATTGTGTCTATCCCATTCAATTAGGGTTAGTTTACTAAAAGTGCTTACCAGTTGCATATTCTGTGGTAACCACAAAATAATTAATTTTAAAATTCCATCATATATCCAGAGTACTTTTTAACTAAACTGTATCAATCGCAGACAAGAGATGACAAAATGATTTTATAGTTGTTAGTGGAAGTCATATTTTTATCTACCATAGAAATTATTGCTTCTACAATTTTTTATCTACCATAGAAATTATTGCTTCTACAAATATGTATCTCATATATGCAATTCAAAATCAACCAAATGCAAAAAAAAAATATTATTTCTGCTTTATTAATTTTATTTTACTACTGCTATTATGATAATTTTTTTCTTTTTTTTTTTTTGGTTTGCTTTAACTTACATTTATTATATTTCTACGCTTTCATATTTTCATACTGAATTCATTTGCAGATGCACCGCCAGTGCTGCTGTACAGTTTCATTGAGCAAACATTGCAACCGGGCCCAGCAGTGAGTTTAAAATGCTCCGCAGCCGGAAACCCAACACCACAAATTTCATGGACATTGGACGGATTTCCGCTTCCATCAAACGGAAGGTAATTGAACTTGTTGAAATATGAAAAAATCAGTACCAAATAAAAGAGAGAACAAAATATTAATGAGAAAGAGATGAAAATATTTACCGTATAAATTAAGAATGAATAAAAACATCACAGAAATATGTGCAAATAATGCAACTGCAACAGTGTGTCGGCGTTGCAAATGCAGCTCGGATTTATGCTCCACGCTGTGCGCTATCAAAACAGAAAAATGTTATCTATGCATTCGTGTGTAGGGGGTTGTGTATGGGGTGAATGCATTTCTATGCAATGGGAACGCCATTTTTCTTCTTTTATTATTTCCTGTTGTACTTTTATTTATAGCGGATATAGAAAATGTTGCCGTACACTTTTTTTATTTGTTTTTGTTTTTTTTTTTTATTTTATTTGCTTGATTTTTCGCTTGAGCGCGCAATTGTGTTTGTTAATTAAGCCATGAATGCAGCCACTATTTGCAGCATGAACTCTGATTAATTTCAGGCTGAGCTCTTACCGCGTCCCAAATTGATTAATTCCATTTTAAAGTTTTTTTTCTTGATAAAAAATATAAATAATATTTGTAAATATTTGCAATTGTTATTAAAAAGAATTTACTCAAATATTTGATTTGAAAAAACTTGAAGTAAAATAAAAAGCCAGATTTTAATTAAATATTTGAGTTAGTTTATCTTGAGAGCAGGTGTGGTTTGTTTGATTTTTGTGGTCTAAGAATTGTGTTAAATTATTTTTGTTATTATTTATATTATTTTAATTCAAACCCGAATAGCAAACAAACCAATATAAATTAGGTCAATGTGGTTAGTAACAAAACTTTAATTAGCTTTGCTTGAATTACTTTTGATCTTAAGTGCAAAATGCTTAAATTATAAAGTGAATTAAATTTGTTTGTTTTGAAATTATTTCAACTACACAAAAATATTTATTTATTCATTTATTTGTGAGTTAACATTAAAATTAATCTTTAAGTTAACTAAGAATAAGGAACTAGACTGCTAGGTCGTTCGTCTTATATTTCAACTACATAAAAATTATTTTTGTAAAACCATTTAATTTATAAAACACCCAACTGATTATATGTAGGTTGTTGTACATATTGCTATTATATATAAATACATATATACATATTAGTATATTATTATACAGTTTATAAATTGTTCTCTATAAATAATGCATATATTTAAGTATTTGCTTTCGATCATCATTTTGTTGATTGCAAATTGAATGCAGATTAATTTATATTTGTTCACAGATATAATGTAAAGGATCTCATGTGAATGTAGTAATGTTTATGTTAGTGTTAAGATTATTTATTCTATAAACTTATTTAATGTAAAGTATTTTATTAACTTACTTCACTATACAGTTCATTACATTAATCGTTTATTAATCTTTTCTGAAAATAAATAGCAACCGCAATCAAACTATGCCGTTTCTTACGTCTTCCCCAAAACATACAACTGAAACTCACAATTGGCAATACACCTATATCTTCTGTACCTTTATTTTTATCCAGATAGTCGGCTGTCATCATCTGTTGTCAAATAGTGACGACAGGATTGTCAATTAGTTTTAAATATGGTTGAAATTATATTACACTTCTTTAAAAGTTTAATACAAAAACAACACAGTAGTTAATATATAACAAAATTTTGATGACGTCACAACTGTAGCAAGAGGAATGTAAATGTATTAATTAAATAAAATACAGAAAAGCTAAATTATTCTTTTACTGTTCCTTAATAGTTTCTATTTAGTTAGGGATTTATATAAAGTTAATAAACAATAGAAGCATATAGTATTATATATTAATTGCAGCCTCGAATAAAAATACAACTCTATAGACACAATATTTCATGAATTGAAATCGTTATAATAAAATGTACTATTCATCAATCCTGAGTAAAACTAATATTAGAAAAATTTTGATTCTCGAAATCTAAAAAAACTAGCAATTAATAATTCCAATTGAAATGATCAATTCACTGTTTTTTCTAATCTTTTCTCCTGTAAGTGACCGAAGCTCTTTTATTGAATAGGGTTTATGATCAATTGAGTGATCCACTGTAACTATTTTACCATTAAAATATGATAATGAGTTACTGAGGTTATTTTACGGAAGCATAGTTTGAAGCGCAGCATACCTTTCTGAAGAATATATATTGCAGTGGTTTCAATAGAGTGCAATTCTGAATTAATGTGAGCATCCATTGACTCAAACCATTTCAGCACTCTATTTTTGATGCGGTTTTGCACACTCTCGATTCTCCAGTCCTTGTGTATAACTTCATTCCGGATAATATACCTATATATATAGAGTATAGAAACCAATAATTATAGCTTAATTGTGCGCAATATTACATTTCTGTAGTTGCTGAACTTAATTTTTGAAATTTCTAGGTACTGTGGTTTGGACATAAATTATATTATTATTAACCAATACACTAATTTCTAGAAACTTATTGAATTAGATAGTGTATTAGTTTTTAACTTAATGGTTTTACTAGTAACTGACTAGTAATAAACTGTAGTGCTGGCTGGTTTAAAATAATTCGCCCAGACTTTCACAGAAAATTGACTTAGAAATAATAATGTTGACCACTTTATTTTGCTATTAAAATCGTCACTAATATCCTCCGTTAGATTCGCACTGATTGACGGTAGTACCGAACTCCATCAAATCTGATCCTTCTATTAAAGATGCAAACATCTCCCTCCGCAAGTTTTTCCAACACGTCACGAATCAAATACTGTTTTTTCCACAACATTTTTATTCATTTTTAAATTAAGTCTTTTATTTGTTTAATTAAATCAATGTAGCGGTATTGCTCCTGCGACTTATCATTCAATACTCGTAAGCGTTGCGTAGAGGACTACAGATTTTTCAAAGAATTTTTGTCTTGAATGCTTCTACCGTCATCACATGTTGGTTATTATCAAAGCTTCTACACCACATAGCAGGACATAAATGTTACGGTACTTATAGAGCCTGCTTTTTGTATTTCGAGGAATTGAGAATGCGCTTTATTTGTTAATTGCCTGCTAAGCCTGTTATATAGGAGTATTTACTGGCAAAAATCATTCTTCATTGAATCTATCTTTTATCTTATGCAGTGAAAAAAAAGCTCCTCACTACATACAAAAAATATTGACGAAGGTTGCCTAAAATTAGTTTTAATTCTTAAACAAGGATACTATGTGATATTTAGTTATCGATTGAATGTCGGCTTATTGTATCTGAATATAGTATTCACAAACAAATTCGTGTTAGTAGTGACTTTATTTTGCCTGTCTTGTAGATGATAGATCCTTTTTAACACCTAACCTAGGAGTCTTTCTCGTTTGTGTCCTAAATTGGTATATTTACGCTTTACTATATTTAGTAGTTAGTGAAGATAAGAGTAAAACACCATTTTTTAACATAAAAACATTATAGATTTATAAATTAAAATACAAAGCCAACAAAAACTAAAAATAAGAAGTAAATATTAATTCTTTAAACTAAATTTTAACGTTTATTAAAAATAGAAAAAGTTATATACTAAATGATAAATTAAGCACAAATATGTTAATTAGTTTGTACTTTTAATAGAAAGTTGATTGTTAAGACTCTTCTAGTATTTTTATGTCATATAAACAATAGCTATTAAAATACTCATTTTTCCTCAGAATTTCCTTGAATATGGACTAATTAATACTAATTGACTAATTAGTAATAAAATGAAAATAATATATATTTTATATTCAGTTAGTCTCGTCGTTTGCGATAAAAACACTTAGGTTTTATTATCTCTATTCACTGTTTTCAAAATATTATTCCTAATATTATTTAAGGAATATATCGGTTTAAAATTTTAACTTATTCAACTCATATTTCAGTTATCAGTATGTCGTCGAGGCGAAGTAATCTGGAAAAACTTATTGAACGTCGTTGTGAAGTGATATTGAAAATATGTAGTCTGCTAAAACTCTACAATTTAAGATATGATCGCAATGAAAACAGCATAAAATACGAAAATTCCTTCAATTTTCATTATAAAATTATGAGGATAATTAAATTTATTTTTATTATTTTACATTTTATATTTGATATATCCACAATTTTCGCTGGTTATTTTTTAATCAAGAATGAATCGAGTGAGAAATTACAAAGAAGCTGTCTAATGATTATTACATATGTGACTCGATCGGTTACTTTATATGTTCTTTATTACACAATGCATTCTAAGAAGATATCAAAAGTAATCAAAAACATTTGCAATGAAATGTTGAGCATTAAAAGGGAGCTCTTTCAAATAACTGGTCTACCAATGTCTTGTGATATATTAACAGTGATATTAATGAAACTCAAAACTATATTTTTAATCATGCAACTACCTATTTTTTGGTGGGCCTTATTTATTTGGTATTATATGTTTTTATTTGAATGTTCATACTTCGGTTATCAAACATTTCAGTTAGTTTTATTGGCTCAGTTTCGAATTCTAAACTCACACACGGAACAATATTTTAAAAGCCTAAATAGAGAATGTGTGAAAAAAGACTTCAAAACACTGAAAAAATTAATTCGAATTTTTGAACGTTTAAATTGCATAGACTTTCACTTCAGTAGATTTACGGGTTGGTTCCTCTACGCTCTTATCGTCACAGTGCCCAGTACTATTTTCAATGCTTATAGGCTGTTAGCTTGTTTATTATATGATACCAAATTTAGTCAAATGGAGAAAGTTGTTCAGTTTATGTTTGTTTATGCTGGTATTATTGGTTCCAACTGTCTAAATTTATATAACGTAGCAGCATTCAATGATTTTATCAAGAGGGAGAAAACTTTTTTTAAAAATTTAATATGTATAATTTATGCAAAAACGTTTGCTAATAATTATCATACATCAACTGAGAGTCATATGAAGGTATTTCAAATCGGATATGTGTTTTTATTTTAAACTGATTAAATTATATTTTCTTTACAGCAAATAGAACTATATTTTAAATTATTCTTC